AAGGTGCAAATATCGTTTTTAGGAAAGTGTTTATACATGTTTCAAGCCTAAATATCTTTCCTAAAGTATTCTTGATCTTGTGTTTGTTATTTGTTTCCATAGTGGGTTTTTTCCTCTTCTTTGTCGTACCTCTTTTCTCCAACACTATTACCATACTATTAGAAATGGACTTCGAGCGCATTTTTATCCTGATCGAAGAAAGAAACGGTAAGTGGTGCGTTATTCAACTTAAGCTAGTTGTAACCGCTGAAAAGCGAGTAAACAAAAGGGATTTTTTTGACTTGGAAGCTTCCTTCTTTTACATGCCAAGCTTCGGATGCAATTTACTTGCCATTGATTTGAGAAATTGCAGTCAAGTCATCGATCCGCTTATTCCTTGTAAGAGCAGGAACAGAAGGGGATATGTGAGCTGAAAGAGTTAATCTACTCGAGTAAAGAGGGCTTATATAGGATTCCTTTGTTAATGTTAAAGAAATTAGCGTCACGAAGTTCATACCGAATACCAAACATACTCATTTCAAGAGAAATCCTTTGGGAAACACTATATCGAAGTAGCAGGTTGACTGGCAGTTTAATAGATATCAAGCAAAGGCAACGGCTCTGCATGAATCATATCATTGTGAGAACCTTCTCACTCTTCTTCAGGAAAAGTTCATGATGCATCTTGAATATGTACTCGAGGTGTTGAATGAGCACCACTGTGCCAACAGACATTTGAGTCAAACTGCAAAAGAAACCATGGTGCAGGAACAGAACCTTCGATTTTGTTGTCTTCTAGCTTTCCTAGTTAGTTCTTCAATTCGGCTACCATTTTGATGTATATGACTCAATTCTTTGAGGTTGACACTATCAGCTACCTTTACACCGAACATAGACCGGATTGTATCCAAGATAGAAATTATAATATAAATGTTTTGCAGGCGCTTCCTATGTCCGTCTACATAACTCACCAAAGACCGGATCCTTTTTGGGTCCGAGATTCTTCTTCTTCTTCTGCCAATGCTCGACTGAGATCTCAATGATTGTTTAGCACACAGGTTCATCAGAACAGACATGCTGCCGCCTTGAAGTTTTCACTAGTCTTTGGATGCATGTTTAACAAATTTATTTCTTTTAGCCTTATCAATTTACATCATATATATATATATACCACTTTTATCCATGTTCTGTAGCAGTTAGGTCGTGATGAAGGCCTACCTCTCTCTTTGAGGAGCTTGTGATCATGAAATTTTTTAGCAGTGTAGAGCAGCTCCCAGTGGCAAGAATCAGTCTGTCTTTGTGACCTGGGTCATAATTATGGCAAGATTTGGAAACCCTGCACCTAGGTTTGTAGATTATCTGGTTACTTTCTCTGAGAGCTATCAAATATATATTGCAAATTAGAGATGACATTTCTCTCTATTGAACGGCATCTCGTCATCATATGACCACTATCCTATTCTGTTTATCATGGCTTGCAGTGGACCTGTTTCACAACCCAACGAGAGCATGAAGTTTATCATAGCAGTTTCTATCGGAGTTGTTTTGGGCTACTTCATTGGAGTCTCACTTCCCGCAGTCAACATAACAAAGGTACATTGTCAAATTATTCTGAATGATTAACTTTGTTTATTTCCAAAATTAGACCTGAAAATTCTATCTGCTTAACTCGTCAGCTCCACTTGCCCCGTAGCAACATTGTATGCACGGAGGAAGATAGCCCAAGTCTCGACACTTCGACTTCTGGACACAATCACAGCAGCAACAATAGAAGACTACATTCTAACTATAGTCTCAGTCACAGCAGTAACAATACAAGACTGCATTCTAACAATAATCTGGAGGTACTTTTATATTTCTATGTTAAATTAACTGCGAGATCTATCATGAGATCTTTCATGGAACCATTTTCTTGTTATAGAATCCAATTGTTCTTCTTATCTTGTTTCATGTATGACTCTTGCACTTATGGTTCACATTAAAATAGAGTTTATGAGCTTTAATGATACTGAGCTTCTACGGAGTAGATATTGGAGATAGTTCACATGAGGAACATCCATCGCTGGAATAGACTAGGTTTGAAAGATTGGATTTACACTGCAACAGTAGAATGTAAATGAACATATTGAGCAGATTTTAAACTCCTAGTCTAATATACTGTTAAGGTTTTTTTAATCAGATTATAGAGGGGAATAATAGCAAGATGCTTCCATTCAAGTGTCATGAAACAGGGACCAGATCGGCTGCTATCTTATGGAAAAGTCAAGCTGCACGGTGATCATGGACCATCATATTACAGAATTTCGTTGTCTCCGATCATTATTGTTATAATTCAGGTTATGCTATATATGAATAGTACTTGGTAGATTTTTGTTTCTTGAGCATCCAGGAGGCTCAACTGAAACCCTTTTTCTAATGTTCATGCCTCTGCCAATATTAGCCGAATTAATCTTTTTTTACTTTGTCCACCCAAACTTTTTAGGTAGTAATGGAGTTTGTGTGAATTAGTAGCAGTGATCTGATTGGTTATTCTTTTAAGAATCAAAGTTCATGTATCGAAATGATAAATGACTCATAGAAAAAGTATTTGTTCATTCAGATTGTGCAAACCTTCCAAATGATTGCTTGTCGAGGTCAATTCTATGGACGTGCAATGACTGCAGTTATGTTCAGACTTCTCATGTTCATGGCCATAATTTGAGGACCATTATGTAATTAAATGCTCATAATTTGAATCTGTGATCTTTGACTATTCCTCCATCTGTTAAGTTGCAAGTACATAATATGTTACCTTAATGGCAGAATTTTCAGTATGGTCCCTCTTATTTTATCTTTACACTCTTCTCTAAACATCTTAGCTTCTTGCTTTTTGCATTAGACTACATACTCAAGTTATTTTCATCATGTTATGTCTGGTGAATTTAATTTTCTGCCTATTTGGTCTAGATATATGTTTCAACAAATCCCCGAGGTGCAGAAAGACTACCACCGGGCATGGTGGTATCTGAATCAGATCTTTACCAACGCAGGCTGTGGGGGAAGCCAAGTGAGGTATGTTGATATGGTTGTATGTTGCTTTCATGCCAAAAATAATTCATGGATCATGATGCTGCCAGTGTATCTGAATAAACATGCATGTGCTATTGCCACTGGTATGCCAATAGCTAATGGTCTCTTCTTGTTTTCATCTCCACTTTCAGTTTCATGACATAGTGACGCATTGTTTGGTGAATTGCAGGATTTACACATCCTCCAGAAATACTTGGTTTCATTCACTGTTGGACTTGGCCAAAAGAAGATTGTTGACGCGGCAGTCAAAAAGGTTAGTGAAGGGGGGCAAACTTGAATTGTTAGCCATCTTTCCAGTAATTAGGACAATTTGTTTGGCTGGCTTGAAGAGGAAACTGGAGATGCCATATTCGACTGTGTATGTTAGATACATATAGTTTTTCTTCTACTTAATCTGAGTAGTGTAAGACTTGACTGCAGAAACTCATTTCCTATCCAGTTTCTAGTCATTCTTAAGTTCTCATTCATGTACATGAATGTGCATCAGATAATTAGGATCTCAGTTACTGAGCATCCATAGTTTATTTTGTGCCAAAATAATGAGTTCTCAATTAATGTAAAAGCCATGTTAAAAAAAAATGATACATCAATTTTAGTAACCTATTAATTGTGCACGATACTACTTGTTTGACGGCAGATGAACCATCTTCGATAGCTTTTGACACTGATATTTATTTTTCGATAGATCATAGCCTGACTAGAGTCTCATGATATTACAGTTCTCTGAAAATTTTACCATCTTGCTGTTCCATTATGATGGTCAAACAAGTGAGTGGGATGAATTCGAGTGGTCCAAACGGGCTATTCATATTAGTGCTAGGAAACAAACTAAATGGTGAGTGAAGGAAGCATTTTTCTGATATCAATGTTGTTGATATACATATTTAACACTCATCTGTGTATCTCAAGGTGGTATGCCAAGCGATTCTTGCAACCTGACATTGTCGCTCCATATGATTACATATTTATATGGGATGAAGATCTAGGAGTTGAACATTTCGATGCAGAAGAGTGAGCGTTTGCCATAGTTCATGTGTACATTCCGCCTTGTGAACACATCCTTTCAGACACAACTTTCTACTTTCAGGTATATTAAGATTGTGAAGAAGCATAGGCTGGAGATATCACAACCGGGAGTAGATCCGAGCACTGGATTAACATGGCAAATGACTAAGAGGAGAAGAGACAAAGAAGTCCACCGGTGAGCGCTATTATCAGCAGGCCTGATACTTTTGCATTCTTGCCAAATGAAATATAATACTAATGGGTGGATGGGTTTTCAACAGAGAGACGGAGGAGAAACCCGGCAGGTGCTCTGACCCTTGTCGTCCGCCATGCTCCTCGTAGGAACCATTCTACTCTTTCTCACCCTTTCTGCCTCAGAATTTTGTGCTTACCAGGACTGACTCTTCCTTGTCATGCCATGAATAGATTCGTAGAGATAATGGCACCTGTGTTCTCCAGAGATGCGTGGCGCTGTGTATGGCATATGATTCAGGTACGTCAATCTATATCAATCACTTTGCGTAGCTCCTGGTCTCTATCTCAGCTTAATTGCAACTACTGGTTGCTGTCGCAGAATGACTTGGTTCATGGATGGGGTCTTGACTTTGCTTTTAGGAGATGTGTGGAGGTACTCGGTGTACATTTTGAAGTCGAGCTTCTTCTGCAATAAACCTTACTGTTTTGACTGATCTTGATCGTTTATTGTAGTCTGCCCATAAGACAATTGGCGTTGTGGATTCTCAATGGATTGCTCATCGAAACATCCCTTCACTTGGAAACCAGGTAGGAGACGACTGCTCCATTCCCCTATCTTTTACCAGCATTAAAAAAAAAACAGACCTAATGTAATATCATTAGTATTCTTACACTTCAAAAGTATTAGTATTGATCCAGTGATGATATATCAAACTCACTCATCGAAGATTGAAGGTTCAAAATTTTATTTGATATTTTTTTACCTGAATATTGGCCTAGTGATAGATAATAAATCAGACTCATTTATAGTTGAGGATTCAAAAATCCCTCTAAATTTTTTTGAAGATATTAACTAGTCTACTCGGTAAAGATCATGATTGTAAATAGGCCTTACGGTTGATAGAAAGATCTCTATCTTTCTGGTTTGTATCATGAGCCTTTCATGTTCTACAGGGCAAAGGAAAGAATGAAAAGGCAGCAAAGCAAGGGGTATAATAGATTACATGTCTTCTCTCTTATTTGCATCCTCCTTCTCATGCCATGACGACTTGACATTGGTTTCTGGTTTTGTTGATGCTACCAGGTGAGGCAACGATGCTACGAAGAGGCGGCGACGTTCGGAACTCGAATGGCAGATGCAGAGAAGGCATACTACAGGGAGATGGGGATGCTCCCCCTGAAGCGACAGCCATGTGGACCATAACATGATCAACTCTTTTGCTGGTGCAGTGAAGCAGCTTGCAGCTTGCAGTGGTAGAAGCAATCACATATTCTCTGTATGGACAACCCCAACGTTAACTCCCTTTTTTATTTTTGTTTCTGGATGATTAAATTTAACATAATTATCTTTGTGAAGAGTTATTACGGTTGAGGTTAAGAAAAGGGAGTTCAGAACATTTCTTTAATGTGATGATCTTGATGAAGGAATACACAAAATTTATCCTACATCATCATATCATACACTCGATTCTTAGAAAGCATAACCAGGTAATTATTCCCTTCAATACATAAAGGAAGTATCTGAACAACTCAGGACAGACAAATAGTTTGCTATTAAGAATTAAGTATGTGGATCTGAGATGCTGGACTCCTTCCTAGTCCTTTAGAGAATTCTTCTGATGTTTGGAGATGCCTTACTACTTGTGATACCTCCTTTGAAGGATGCCATGAATTGGAATTACTACAATGAACAGATAAATTCCCTTTGAAGTAACTTCATGTATCTTCTTCCTGATGATTATGCATATGCCAATACAAAAAAAACACATACAAAGATATATATCCTCACATATCATCGAAACAAGCCATCGGAGATCTCAACCATATCATATATTACAATCAAAGAGTCTATTATAATCTAGGTCAGTCGGTAGAAGAGTACATGAATCGATTAATGAAAATGAATCCCAAAAACAAAATAAATAATTGGAAAGCCACTTGATTTCGAGCCAACTGCGGTTGTGTGTTATATCACCTACCAAGAAGGAAGAAGACATAAATAAATCCACCACAGTAACTACAATCAACTGCGCTCATTTAGTGACCTGTGTGCACAAACATGGAAACAACTATCAGCTCTACTAAATATTATTGCGCATATGTACATGACAAAACTCCATGCTTGCCCTCTCCTTCCCAAGAATTCATCCACCTGTGCCAGATGCTCAAATCCAATATAAGACTATCATTTTCTCATACCATTGCCATCGATCTACAATGCCATTGATTCACTCAGCCACTTTCTCTTTTGCAGTTCCCAGGAAGGAGGTATCTGTATCGGTCAGCATTCTGAATTAGGAAACCCGGAAGGTTTAATGCAGAGTATGAACTGGGAATTGGCCCCAACTTGGCAATAATCTTTTGGAATGTGTACTCCTCAGGAAACATGTCGAAAAGGTCTGCTCCTCGACATATGACATCCTGAATTCTCTTAGGATTAAGGTAATAGGCAAATCTGATACGATCGACATGGCTGTATGCTCTCATTTTGAAGGTAAACTCACTGATGTGCCGGAAGCAGAAGCTGCAGTGCCACCCAGAATCAGCTAACAGGTCATCGGACTGCCGGAAATGGGCGTATCTGGTCTTCCCAGCTCGGTATCGGTGGACCGAAGCCCTCCAACTGTCATCATCAAGGTGGAACTCAAAGGAGTAGAGGTAGTTCCTAAGCTGGAGATGAAGCTTCTCCGGGATCTCATCACACCATCTGAGCAGGTTGATCGTGTGGCCACTGGGGATCTCATCAACATCCGACATGATCAGCAGGTCATCGTCGCTGATGCCGGCGATCCTGATGAGCTGATCCAATGCCACTCGCTGGTACGACTCCTCGACGAACGGATTCTCCCCTTTGACGAACCTCCCCCCGACGGTCCCGTAGGTCAACCGCGACTCTACGAACTTGAAGCGGCGGCGATTGCTCGCGAAGAGGAGGGGCTTCTTCAAGGCGGTGAAGGTCGAGTTGGACTCGAGCAGAATGAACTCGGAGACGAAGGGGCTGAGCTCGTTCCACCGCACTTGGAGGATGTCGAGCTCATTGTTGAAGAGGACGGCGTCGAAGACGCGCCTTGGCGTTTCCCGGACGCCCCAGCCATGGAGCTTGCACAGGTGCTCCATGGAGACGTTCTCGTGGTAGTAGTGCGGTATGGTCCTGAAGGGTTTAGGGGGGGATTCCCACAGCGGCCGGAGGAAGTAGGTGAACTTTTGGCCGTGGACGTAGATGACGAAGACAAGGATGGGGATACCGACGAAGAGCAACAGTAATGCCTTGAGATCGAAGCACCGGAGGGCGCACCGGAGCCGCCGGGACATGCTCAGAGCTGCCCTTGAAGCCTGCAACAGAGCCCGAACACAGCGTAAGGCTACAATAACAGCAAAACATGAACACGGGCTCAAACGCCACGAATCGCACAAAATAAAGATTAGATTTTGAACAAAGACACAGCTTTTCAGATCTTTTCACAAGAGTTACAGAAACAGAAAGAGGAAGATTACCCCGCCGCAGACGTTCTCACAGATATCATCCGTCTTCTTGGAGCAATAAGGGCACCCCGCTTCCGTCATTCTGAAGAAAGCACTTCTCCAGCAACAAAAAGGATCGACCTTTTCTCGAAAAAGATCCGCCTTTCTGCCAAATTCCTCCACACCGATACTTCCCGGCGCCGATCGGATCCCGCAGCCACAAAACGATGCGCCCGATCAATCCGATCTCCGCCCGCCCTCTCTCTCTCTCCCTCCCCCTCTCTGATTACTGTAGGAGTATCCTGTCTCTCTCTCTCTCTATACCAGAAATAACACCGAACAAACACCTCAAACCTCTTCCCCACTACGTCTGCCCCAAAGCTCTATCTTTTTTCCCTCTTGTTACCGGCGAACGGCCTACCACTCAAATCTCGAAGCTAATGAGCATTCGATGAACAAGAGCAGAGCAGATGAGGAGACGAGAAGATGAGGTAGGGAAGTGGGGCGCGTCGGGCTCTCATATAGCGCGAATACAACACGGAGAAGGAGACGGAGAAAGGGCTCTTGGGGAGCCGCGTCGATCGAAGGCTTCCTCGTCGGTTCCAAAGAAAGGGTATGCGTTGCGGCATTTAATGGGCCGCGTCGTTTAGTCACCACGGCGTAACGTACTCCGGCCGGCCTGTTATCGTCACCATGTTAATCTCCCGTCATAACTCCGTTAACTCCTTCCCGTTGTTAGTCTTATTATTATTATTATTTATTATATTAAATTACATTCAAAATATTCTTAAATGAATCCCAATTAGATAAAATTAATTGGTGTTGATTATGCCTAATAAGTGGGTTTGTGTCATCAACAGGTTGACATGCTTAATCATATGTGTAAGTGAGTTGGATTGGAGTTGAGAGAATTATTTTTAATACGGAGTATATTAATCATGTCATGTTCGAGCCATATGAATAGGTCAAAAGGAGAGAGAGAGAGAGTATTGACTTGGAAAATAAATAATACATGCATATTATGAAAGGGACTGAGAAGTGGCAATGTTCAAATCTTTTGAATGCTCCATCGCAAATACAAAATGTTAGCTAAGAATCGTTTTCGTGTATTGCGTCGGCAGAAATCTCGTGAACTAAATCTTATAGGCTAAGCAATTTATCAAAGCAAAGCAGTAAATAAGATAACAACATCAAAACGTGTGATAGACGAAGTCTTTGCCAATCGAGTCTTCGACGACTTGGCCCGGTCACGGTTGACGATCACGCTGCCTAAACTTGTTCCGAGTCGTTGACCTCCGCGACTTGGTGTTGCATCCCAATTGCTCGAGTTGGATTGCGTATGTAGAAAAGATCTTGAGGTTTTGCGTGCATTGGGAGTCCTCCTATCTCAAAGGGATGTGAGAGGAATATTTCTTGTACGTTGATGATTCAATATACGAAGAGTGGAGCATCGGAAAGGGTTCATGTCTTTTGAACATGCAGATGAGTCACTTATCGTGACAAAACCTCAACACACATTTTGACTCTTTCTGTAGCTTCGATCGGCAGACTTGTGTGCTTACACGGTGCAAGATCATGAATGCTTGGACTTGGTCAGAGTCAAAACACAACTGAAAAGGATTTGATCTGAAATGATATGTTTGCATCATCATCATCATCATCATCACAAAATTAAAGCTTCAACTACATTTGACTTATGGTAATTAACAGAGATTAACTACCATGATATACTAACAAGTTTCTATATCTAAGAAGAATACATATATATATATATGATCATGTTTTCATTGAGATATCTAAGTTAATTATTGTATTATTCTACAAGTAATGTGTCTGAATATAAATATAAATCATCATCTAACTCATCATTTTTTATCGTAGTTTGGATGTTGGTTTAGTTTCACAAAGAATTAACGTCACTGTAATGTCCAAGTTAAAAAAAAAAATTACACCAAAAAAATCATCGCACTCGCGATGATATGAAATGTTCACCGACTGCATCAAGCCTCACTTGCTCGTTGGCTTCTTTGTCCTCACCATGGCTGGAGACCGAACTGGACCACTTGTAACACCAAGCTCTCCTGGTGGACAAGCATCTCACCACTGCATGGTGTCAAAAGTAGCCATCAAGAAAAGATTGTACAGCCAACTCTGTTTGAACTCATTCTCCGCACTTGATCAGTAGTCACAGCAGCCCCTACTGTCCTGCAAAAGTTGCTTTTGATAGTTAAAGAAGATGATGCAGCTGCACCAAAAGTATTTGATCTGCTACTCTATCTCGACTTATGCTCTGCACTTGATTAATAATTACAGCAGCTCCTACTGTCCAGCAAAAGTTGCTTTAGATAGTTAAAGACGATGCTGCCAACACCAAAAAGTATCTGATCTGCTACCCTGTAACATGTTCTTCTGTCTTCTTTATTCTTGCAATAGCAGTATAAAGATGCCTTGGATAGTTCAAAATTGTACTGCATCAGAAAGTGCTGTCATTTTGATCCGCTAATCCGCTCCCTCCATGTTCGGGTAATCCCTGCTGACTTCACTGTGGACATTTCTATCTGCCGTTGTTCTTGCAGCAGCCAACATGAAGTTGCTTTAGATGATTGACGATGACACTGCATCTAAAGTCTTATTGTATTGATCTGCCACTGTGCTACATGTTCGGTCGACTTCACTGTGGACTCTTTTACCTGCTGTTGTTGCTGCAGCAGCAGCATAAAGTATCTGTAGATGATTGAACTTTGCATCGAGAAGTACTGTTGTTCTGATGTGCCACCATGCTACATTTTCCCGGAATTCCCGTTGATTTGTTTTTCTGTGGAATCTTCTACCTGCCGTTGATTGATTCTGCAACAGCAACATAGAGTTGCTTTTGTTTTTTATTGTCATTTGATCTGCTACTGTACTACA